GATAGATAGATAGATAGATAGATAGATAGATAGATAGATAGATAGATGGATGGATACATAGAGAGAGTGAATTAGAGAGAATGATAAGTAGGTAGGTGGATGGATGGATGGATGGATGGATAGATGGATAGATAGATGGATAGATAGATGGATAGATGGATGGATAGATGGTTACAGAGAGAGAGAGAGTGAATTAGAGAGAATGATAAGTAGGTAGGTGGATGGATAGATGGATAGATAGATGGATAGATGGATGGATAGATGGTTACAGAGAGAGAGAGAGTGAATTAGATAGGTAGATGGATGGATGGATGGATAGAGACACAGGTGATATAGATAGAAAGAAAGAGAAAGATGTGTTGATATAGATATGTAGGTAGATATGTAGGTAGACGATAGACAAGGCAGATAGACAGACAGACAGAAATGATAGACTGACTGACTGACTAGCCAAGCCCAGTTCCTGCAACCGTTCTTCATATGCCTTAGTCTCCAGTCCCCTCATCATCCCAGTTGCTCTTCTCTGCACTTTTTCTAGAGCCTCAACCTCTTTTTTATAGTGTGGTGACCAAAACTGGATGCAGGACTCTAGGTGTGGCCTTACTAAGGATACATAGAGTGGGATTAGTACCTCCCTTGATCTTGACTGTATCCCTCTGTTGATGCAGCCTAGGATTGCATTGGCTTTTTTGGCTGCAGCTACAGCATCTGGCTGGCTCCTATTTAAGGGATTGTCCCCTAGGACTCCTGTCTGAATGCAGATTCATCACCGTCTGGAATGAGGCCACTGACCGCTGGATCATCTGCCAACTTCAGTACTTTAACGGAGGGATCCTCTGAGATGCAGTCCTCGGCACAGAACAGGAGCGTCAGGCTCAATTTCAATTCAGGGCCCCATCAGGGCTGTGGGTGACCGTGTGGGGGGAGGTGCATGGTCAGGTGGGAGGGCGTGGCCAGCTTGATGCCACTCCCCAAACTGCTGGCATGCTTCCTCTTCGCATTGGGAAGACTGGGCCGAAGTCACGCTGACCCTCTTTGCAGTGGGCAGACCAAGCCAAAGTGATGCAGGCTGGCCCCTTACATGTTTCCAGGACGGCCCTGCGGGTCAGATCTGACCACATCACAGGCCTCTTCTGGCCCATGGGCCTTGGGTTTGACACCCCGGTAATATACAGAGAAAAGCAGTGGGGAGAGCATTCAGCCAGCGGTGCGATTCAAGTAATTTAACAACCGGTTCTCTGCCCTAAGGACTGGGTGGGCATGGCCAACTTGATTGGTCTCAGGAAATTTCTCCTTTAGTCCAACTCACAATAAAATAGTGCAATAAAACAGCACTGTTCCAACATTTAGAATAGAATGGAATAACAGAGTTGGAAGGGACCTTGGAGGTCTTCTAGTCCAACCCCCTGCTTGGGCAGGAAACCCTACACCACTTGAGACAGATGGTTGTCCAATCTCTTCTTTATAAACTTCCAGGGTTGGAGCATTTACAACTTCTGGAGGCAAGTTGTTCCAGTGGTGAGTTATTCTGTCAGGAAATTTGAGGGGCTCCTACAAAAATGAGGGAGTCAATCTATTTTCCAAAGCGGCACAACAAGAAACAATGGGTGGAAACTAACCAAAGAGAGAAGCAACCCAGGACTAAGGAGAGATTTCCTAATGGGGAGACCAATCAACCAATGGAACAGCTTGTCTTCAGAAGGGATGGGGGCTCCATCCCTGGAGGATTTCAAAAAGAGTGAGGGAAACACACCCCAAAGGGACAGTGCCAGGAACCACTAAAACAATGCAGAAAACAGCCACTTCCCTTTTTTTTAAAAAAAGAAAGTCATCCCCAAAGCAAACCAGCAGCTAAGAGGGAAACTAGGAGTGGCTGCTCATGCTAACTGAAAGCCTGGGCATGCTGCCAAAAGCCATTAACCCTTCAATGCTATTATTCTACGTTCTCTATGTTCTAAACTGGAGCAATACGGCTGGCTGGACCACACAGGCATGAAATTCACGGCTTAGGGGTGGGATGCACATTTTTTTTACTACCAGTTCTGTGGGCGTGGCTAGGTGGGCTTGGCCAGATGGTCATGTGTCTGGGTGGATGTGGGGTTGTTGTTTTTTTGCCTACTGGACCTCAGGGAAGCCTCCTGGGAGCAAAACTGAGGTGGCGGGGGCTGCACAGCAACCCCCCCCCCCGCCTCCCATTTTTGCCTCCTGGGCCTCAGGGAAACAGTGGGCGAAGCAGTACAACAGCCAGGGGGCGGAATCAGCTGTGCCGCACGATTTAGTTTAGCTAGAAAGTAAGAAATCCGATGACTTCCTGCTTTCTCGTTAATCTAAATCACACAGCACAGCTGATCTTCGGAAAGCAGCTGATAGTCGGGGGGGGAAAAAAGGAAATACCTTGATCTTTGGAGCAAACCAGTTCTCTCCCAGCTGATATTCAGCCAAACGGGGCTGAACTGGAAGAATTCCACCCATTCATGGCCTGTATGATTAAGCTGCATCGTTGTCCCCTCCTGTATCTTTTCCCCCAGGTAGAAACAAGAAGTAACCCACACTGCAGCAGGTATAAAAGGTCTTGGGGAACGCTAGGGAGTATCAATCGATCACAGAAGTGTGACTTAATACTCTTTATAATGAAAATGTTTGTAATCTTGTCCTTCTTCCTGAAAGGAAGAGGTTAATCCCATCCCTGGATGGGTGATTGATGGGTTTCCCTGCCCCAATCCTGCCCGTTTCTGATGTTTATTGACTTGATTCAGTGTGTATCAGCTGTTTAAGTGGTTCTTGGCTCTCTGCTGGGTGGGAGGGAGGGAGAATCTCTCTTGGACTTTATTTTTAGCCGGTTCTCCAAACTGGATGAGCAATTAACTAATAGTTCAGGCAAACAGGTGAGAACCGGCTGAATCCCACCACTGCGTTCAGCCCTGGGCTAATTCTACAGGTACCTGATGTGATTTCGCCTTTTGTGTTTGATTTTGAGTGTGTTTTTTCCATGTGATTTTTCCTGCCTTCACCTCAGAAAAATTAACGGGCCAAATGTCAAGTGGAAATATTTAGCTGCTCCGTCCCAGCAGCCTCTCGCTGAATTCCCAGAGCTTCGTGGCCAGCTGGTCATCGCAGGCCAGGGGACTGGGCACCTTCGGTTGGCAGTCCACGAAATACCGGCCACTCAGCCTCTCGATGCCCTCCTCGGTGGCGCAGTAGATGGAGGTCTGGGCGCCAGCTTTGCAATTTCGGATGAACAGCTTCGTGATCCAAACCAACCAAAGTGTCCACCAGGGATGGGAGCGAGTAATTTTGGTGTTAACAACTCCTGAAATCAAAGGCAGAGAGAAAACGCCGGGGATGGAGCGGAGTTGGGGGGTGGGGGGGAGATCTCAAATGCACCGTTCACACAATACGTGTTCCCCACCGTGAACCAAGGCATTCTTTGGGTAACATGCTTCTTGCAGGCGTTTCATTACTCAACTAGGTAGCATCATCAGTGCTAGAAGGGAGGGGGTTTGAAGAGAAGACCTGGAGGAGGAGGAGGAGGAGGAGGAGGAGGAGGAGGAGGAGGAGAGGAGACAGAGGCAAAGGAGGACACAGGGCAGAGTGGAGGAGGAGGAGGAGAAAGGGAAGGAGGAGGAGGAGGAAGAGGAGGAGGAGGAATAAAAGGAGGAGGAGAAGCAGGAGAAGGGGAGGCTGAGGAGGTGAAGGAAGAGGAAGGAAGAGGAAAGGAAGGAAGGAAGGAAGGAAGGAAGGAAGGAAGGAAGGAAGGAAGGAAGGAGCGTAAAAGGCAGAAGAGACTGTGGGAAACCTCATCCCTGCTTGAGCAGCGGGTTGGACTAGAAGACCTCCAAGGGCCTTTCCCACCCTAAGATTCTAGGATTCTGGACTTGGCGTGGTGGGAGATGTCTCCCTCTGCAGCTGAGATCAATGGAGGAAGCTCCCAGGGTGGCTCTGCAGAGGGGGGTCGAGGGAGCCCCCAGTGGGAGAGAAATGCCTGGCGGAGCCCCAGACGGACCAGGGGGGTGGGGCTCCATCTGGGGGACCTTGGAGCCGGATTTCCACTCACCTGGATGAACCGCGTAGCAGGTGACGTTGGTTCCTTCCAGCCTCTTGGCCAACTCTCTGGCGTGGAGAATGTTGGCTAGTTTGCTGTTGCAGTACGATTCTGCGCCTTTCATCATCCACTTGTTCGGTTTTTTCAAGGTCCCAAAATTGAATTTCGCAGAGGTGTGCGCACTTGAGGATAGGATTACGATCCGGCTCGGGGCGCAGCGCTTCAGCCGGTCCAGGAGCAGGTGGGTCAGCAGGAAGTGGCTCAAGTGGTTGACCTGGAAGGCCAGGTCAAAGCCATCGGCGGTTTGGCCATCCTGAAAGATCCCTGCCAGAAAAATAAGCGGATTACAGGTCGTCCTCGGCTTCATAATCATTCGAAGTTGCCAATAGACACCCCAAAAGATACTTACCGCTAAATTCCCCCGGGCGGTCACGTGACCACATTTTACAATTTGCAACATTTTAGTCCAAAAAATCCACCCCACAGTTTCTTCCACGTTTCAGCAAAAAACACTCCGCCGTGAACAAATGGTTCGCTTTAACGACCATCGCATCAAAGATCTTGAAACATAGGGGGGGTCACAGGGAGGACCTGCTTGATAACCATCATGCGTAACGGGCAGGCTCCATCGTGGTCATAAGTTGAGGGCTACCTTTGAAGTTTGGTCTGGCGGTTAAGGCAACAGGCTTTTTACGTCAGCTAAGTCAGTTTGGTTTTGTGGTTAAGGATGCTTTGAGTTCAAATCCTGCTTTAGGCATGAAGGCCACCTAGGAGATTTCTGGCCAATGACCAGGAGGCGGTGAGTTCTAGTCTTGCTTCGGGCCTGAAAGCCGGCTGGGTGACTTTGGCTCGATCACCAGGAGACGGTGAGTCCCAGATCCACCTTAAGCAGGAAAGGCGACTTAGGGCCAGTCTCTCTTGCTCTTTCTCTCTCTCTCAGCCCAACCCACCTCGCAGGGTTGTGGTTTAGAGGAAAATAGGAGGAAGAGGAAGGAGTGTTGGATCTGTTTGCCGCCTTGAATGAGAAAAGTAATCTAAGAAAAACAACCAGCCACAAATAGGAGACAGGCGCTTCTCAAGTTCTGGCCAAATCCCCAAAGGGAGAGAAATCCCAGACAATCCCACCCCCTCCAATCTTCCCCCCTTCCTTCCCCCTCCGGAGACCCTGGGGAGGGTCTGCTCT